GAGCCTTAAATCTTTGTTTTTGGACCTTTGATTATGGATGAGGAGAGAGGTTGGAAGTGTTTATGGAAGAATGGCCAAAAGCTTCAAATGATGGCTTAGAACACATTATATAGTGTCTAAGTTTTGGACATGGTGGAATTCTACCCGATACCGGCGTTAGGCGAGGCTTTTGGTCTTACCCGATTGAGTTGTCGTAACCCGATACGGTAAATTCTAGAAATATTCTGATCACTAATATGGAGTGTTAAAATGATTTCTAAATGTATTAAGACACCCATTAAGTCATTTTAGATACGTACAAGTTAATGACTTAATTAAACAAGAAAATCGGAATCGAAGATGGAAACGACGATTGGTTGCTTGAATTGAACTACGAAAGAGTTACAAGAAGTGGTACGGATATTTCGGGTTGTTACATAATGTCTGCGACTGTTGAAATAAATTGATTTTTCAAACTTAATTTCATGTCATAAACATTAAAAATGCATTTTCAGAAAGAAAAAAAGAAATAAAAAAACTGAACGGTGTGCCCATGTATTTTTTAGGTTAAAATGAGGTCTGAAGACATTTTAAGACAGTGGCCCATGTCTGCGCCAGGAAGACCTCGGGCAAACGTTTTTTGACCTGCGCACTTCCAAAAAACAAACACTGTGCCAGGGTATATGTCTGAGCATTGTCTTCATGGCATAGATAAGGTGGTTGCACAGATCTTCATAAAAAAAACAAACAACCTCTAAGACTAGATAATTCTTCGAATGAGAGATCCTACCCTACAACGGTTGGACTCTAACAAGAGCTGCGAAATAGAGCTAGACCTAACCTTCTGAAATTATTTAGTCTGTGAAATATGTAACTTAACATATTCGTTAGTAGCTAGTAAAAGATAACTAGAACTCCTAAAAGCACAAAGCAAACAATATTTGAGCATTGAGTAATATAATCAAGCATATTCTAATCACCGACTAATTTGTACTAATACGCAGTTTATAAAGCAGATATTCATATAACAGGGACATAACGCATCCTTCCTAGATCCTTAGCCCAAATCTAGCATGCAGTTCTCATAAACATATCATAGCATGAACTTGTATGGGTAATTTGGGAGTACTTACTTGAGCTCAACTAATTACATGCACCACACCTTTTTTTCTTTCCAAAGTTCTTTTCTCTTTTCAAAGTTCTTTTTCAAAATTCTTTTTATAAAAATGATATTCTTTTGAAAAAATTTCATAAAAGTCCTCATTTTGAGTCCACACACACACACACACACCCGGGAATATGTCTAAATCCCTTAAACCAAGGCTTTGATACCAACTTGAAACATCCCAAAAATACGATCCAAAAATTTAAGTTTAAAGCATTAATAAAAACCATAAGTATAATTCATTATATAAAAGTCATAAATTTTGTATCTTAAAATATCATAACATCAGTCAATATATCAAAATCAAATGTCAAAACATCATAGTGAAGCCTCCTAGGCTGGAAGTTATGGTGTGTGCAATGCAGTCATCCCAAGCTCTTCACTTTTTTAGCAGAAATACCTTAAACCAAAATTGAAACTGTAAGCATGAAGCTTAGTGAGTCTCCCCAAAATACCACATACCATACACATAATCACATAATCGCATATAACATACATTGGTCCCGCCCTACCACATCGGGTACTGCCCAACATCGGGCCCCGTTTGACATCAGACCGCATCTAGCATCAGACCCCGCCCAGTATCGAGCAAAAATCAATATACATATGAGCATAACTACTAATACACATAACATGAGAATAACCACCTAATCTTAAACATCCAAACATTGCTCGGGTCCCCCCGACATTGGACCGACATCCGGAAGGCATACAAACATTCCTCAGGAACCGCCTTGGAATCGGACCGTAGTCCGGAAACATACAGATATAAACACATGCAAGTATCACAAAGACATCAAGCATACTAACATTCTTCAGGTACCGCCCCGACAAAAATGTCGACACCCGGAAAACATAGAATCCTACATCAGGCCCCGCCCGACATCTGACCGTAGTCTGGAACATACTAACATACATAAACAGGCTGGTCTTGGAGCCATTGACCCGTTCCTACTAACGTAAAACTCACCTCAAATGTCAGGCAAAGTAGTTTAACGTCTTTTCTCCTGCAACCGACTCTACTCACGCCTTATGCAAAACAACCCCTTAGATACCAATCCTTACTTCAGGACCCATTCATGAGTCAACCTTAGTTAAAGACAATGTCCATGTCAAATTCAACATTCACTCAAAGTCAAAGTCAACAATCCGATTTGACTCAACTCGTCGAGTCATCCCCCTGACTCGTCGAGTTCTCTTGCTACTTATAGAATCAGGACAAGTCGACTCAACTCGTCGAGTTCCTCTCTGGACTCTCCAAGTTGCTCTGTCTGTTTGGGATATCTTAATAGATAAAGCCAAAACTCTTCAGATCTAAGTTTCATACTCCTCATACACCAAGAAGATGTCCTTTTAAGGGTAGAGTTTCCAACTTTACCCATTAATACCTTTCCTTAATGGGTTTGGGTCAAACCTTAACTCCTTAGGACCTAGATCTTAGTCCACAAGCCATCCATACTCCAAACTAAAGCCTACAAATAGAGATGCAAACCCTAAAAACTACATGGACATGTAAAGTACCTAACTTTATCCCCGTCCATGGCCTTTTGAAGCTTAAAAGGCTAAAATGGCAATTTATGGCTTGTATGGGGCTTCTATAGCCATAAAGCTTGCACCTTTATGCCATGTGAGCCCTTCAAGGTCATAGATCTGAAAGTATACCCACTTGGTACACCCATGTCCCAAAGATCATGCTTCTTTGACCAAAAAACCCATAAAATGATAAGAAGGATATCTAACAAGCTATTTAGCAAGGTTGATACTTGATTACCAGAAAATGAAGGGGATGAGATGTATTTTCTGGATCTACTAGCTTCCTTTTGAATCTCCAAGCTCCTCCTTCTTTAACAAGCAACAAGACACATAATCTTCACTCAAAAACAACTCACAAGCTCATATAAAGCACTAGGGTTTCATGGATTAGGTTTTGGGACTTTGAGGCTGGAAATGAGGCCAGCAAGTGGGGATTAGGATGCTTAAATAGGGTGCAAAACCCTAAATTTAGGGTCTAGTCTTGGCAGTCCTACTCGATGAGTTGAGGCTCTCAACTTGTCGAGTAGGCGACTTAAAATCCCGTAACTAATCAATTTTCTACTTGACGAGTTTGGGGCTCCCAACTCCTCGAGTAGCTCTACAAAAGTTAATAAATTATAATTAAATGTATACCAGGAACTAGGCGTTACAACGAGTCTCGATGATATCCGAAAGCAACACATTCACATATGCTATACAGCTTTGCATGACAGCCTTTTTGGACAGGAGTTCATTGATCCTTCTCTTAGCTTGATCAAGCTTAATAGTGAGAACCTTCCCATTTTCTGTCTTCACGGCGAGAGATCCATTATTTTGCTCTTTGTGGCTAAGTCGTCTTTAAGCATTTCTATTTTCGATGAAATGGAGGAGTTGAACTCAGAGTTATCAACTTAGAGGCCAGTGCGAACCTCTTCGAGCTTTGCCTTCTCGATGCAAAGTATTGATCCAAGGCTAGAAATGACTTCATTTTCCTTTACATTGTTACACTTGAATGAGCTCTAAAAGATGCTCATGAAGGAATGAGCATCAGCAATTAGTTTATTGACTTTTTCAGTTGTTTCCTTGCATAATGAAGCTAAAGAATCCACAACTTTATTTGTCTTCTCAAGAAAGGTGGAGTGTTCTTTGTTGAGGATCTCATGGAAGGACTTGATTGTAGTCTAAGAATAGTCTTCGCAGGTTAAGTTTTTGGTGGATTGAAGTAGTGAATCCAGCTTCTCATTGATGGCCTTGAGTTGCCCTTTGGTGATAGGAGCTTCGTCATCACTTTCGATCTGAATGTTGAAAGGATTGCAGGTGAATCCTCAAAATTCTTCATCATCACTATCATAGATGGTATCTGGATCGTCTTGGCGTAAAGGTGAGATGGGTGGTGTACAACGACCAACTATGAAACCTAAAGCACCTGACCCAACATCAGATGTGTTGATAGTCATTGGAGGTTCAATAGTGAAAGTAGTTATGGTGGTTGTTGAATCTGTGAAGAGTGGGGTTTGGGTTTGCGAAACACCCATTGATACTTGTGGGAAAGGAGCAATGGTAATTGGGGTTGTGAAGTCAGAAGTGGGTAAAGGAACAGAAAAATCTTGTAGAAATTCATATGTGATTGGAATGCAGGTAGGAATCTCAAAAGTTACCTCATCGTTCGTTGTTGTAGGCTCCGAAACCTTTAATTGAGATGTTGCAGCAGTATCATCTTCGTTGTGAACCTCTTCCTGAACAAGAATCTCCGAAAATGTGTTCGACTATAAAAACTTCATGGTCACTTGGTGTTGGAGTACAAGGAGGTTCAGATGGACCTACTTTTGCACTCATTTTATTTCCTCATTTCTGGGGCTTTTCCGCCTCATCAAGGACCTTTCAAATTTCATTGTATAAAGGGAGAAAAAGACAGGTATACGTCTGTAGGTTTGCAATACATCACTGCAATTGAACCAATGGAACTGAACTTTGAATTATCAGCAAGAATGATGTTGGTTGTATGGAAGATTTGAATCGCAACCATACAGGAGTCTTCAAGGATTGGGATGTTGAGCTTGTTGATCGCCCGTTGAACAATGATGGTCCAGAAACGAGCATAGGAAATTTCACTGTGTCATGCAGTAGAGATGGTACTTTGGACTAATTGAGCCCAGAGTACTGAGCCATAATCCAAATTGATTACATAGTAGATGTTGTACATCATCTTCGGAAACAACTTGCTCGCACAGTCGGAGCCTGTAACTCTCTCTGAGAAGCCTTTAAATAGAAGTGTGAATAGGCCATTCCACAGCAGCGGAAAGTTGGACTTCTTGGGCTTGGAAACTGCAGTCAAAACTTCCTTTTATCCCATCGGGTAGAACGTCTCAAGAATAGCTGAGTTGGAGACGCTCTCAAGGTCAACCAGGTTATGACCCTGAGGAAGCCTTAGGAGGTTATAGAACCTCGACATGGTGATTTGGGTTTTCTGGTTGAAGATTTCGAATGTGATTAACTCATCTCCCTTTTGATAACTAGTTGTGGAATAAGCTTTTGATATATGCACCAAGGGAACAATCTCCGATTTGATGAGAGCAATAACCAATGGATAATACCTCAAGCATTGGATGACTGGTTGAAAACATTTGTTGTATTTTGATGGGTCAATATCGAGAATCAAGTTTTGATTTGCCTGGAGGTTGAGGATCGAGGAATGGAGCATCTGTTCTGCAACTAAGGGGGTCTTTGAAGAAGTTGCCATTGAAACTCGAGAAAGGAGATGATACCAATTGTTGAGATTAAAACTCTAATAATACATAGATTCAAAATGGTAAAAGAATGATGAACAGTAGAGAGTATAATCGCCGGGAGGATTTTGTTTTCTTTTTGAAACTATTAAGTAATTATTGAATCATCAAAATCCTTTTACATTGTATAGTGGGTGAGAGAAATCTAGCCATTGGTTACATCGATTAATGAACAGTCGCCTAAAAAGGCATGAAAGATAGTTGCGACATGTGTCATACGGTGTCAAATCAGCGTCCATTCAAAATCTTGAGCCAAAATATTATCCTTTAAGATGTCCTTTCAGTTTCTCCTTTTAACAGTTAATTCCAGATATGAACTCTCGCAATTAATTTTCATCCAATGTTCTGCGAAACTAAGAGTAAACATTAGTACCACGAACCAAACTTTGAAAAATCATAAGGGATTCTAGTGAGGTATATTAAGACATGAAGCAGATGGATCCTGGGAAATGATCTCCTCCTTCGGGGTCAAGAGAGACTCTAAAGTGTCTGTGTGGTTTCCCATTGAATTATGATCACTTGTTTGTTGAGAAACAGTGAAAGGCATCTTTTCGTTAGGCGTTATGGGTGGCTTTATCTTCAACCAAGCTACGAAACTTAATATATGTCTAAAAGTTCAGATGAAGTACTTGTCCGACCGGTGTAGCGATAAAAATAAGTATGCTTTGGAAATATTTTGAGTGACTAGGATAAGCATCTAAATCTCAAGAAAAAACAAATTAGATCTATGAGGAAGAAACGTCTTATGTCTAGAATGTCTCATTAAGATTATGTTCTTTTCATCTAAGGCTTTGTTGTAGTCTGTAATGACGGCAACACATGTTTCATTAAGTCTTTCTAAGTGAGGTTCACAATCATGCATGCTATAATCATTAGACTGAATCATAAATTTTACCTGTTCGACGATGTTGAGAGTCCATTCCCTTGACATGTAGCAGTAGTTTCTCTATAGGTTGCTACATCCATCTTCATCACTTGATGCTACCATGCATATTTTTCCTCTTTTCCTTTTGTTTTCAGGCTCCTCATCTTCCTCACCTGAAGACCAAACCTGATGATCCCTTCAAACTTGAGCAACACATGCCTTTGCTATTTCTTTTTCCTTATCCTCCATTTCCTGAGCCCTTCTAATGTAGAATGCTTTGTCTTTCACCACATTTTCTTTACGAACCTGTGCAAAGTGATTTTCTTTGTGACATTTCTGACAGAAAACAACTCCATCTTTGTTGTCTTCGGTAGTACTACCGGAGTCTGGTGATTTGTTAGTCTGCAGGGCTTCCTTTATATAAGGAGAATTCTAAGGTTGAGGTTGGTGTTGAGGGTTTCTGGGATATCGGTGATGATTGTTTTGTGGGTTGAAGTTTCGGTTGAAAGGTGGTCTAGTGAACTGTTGGTTTTTGTGAAAAGCAGGTGGTAGGAGTCGATTGAACTATTGACTGACAAGGTCTATGGATTTTTGGAATTCTTCCTCATCGTCTAGTTCGAAATGAATTTCATATGACTGATGTGAGTTATCATATGAGTGTTGATATGATGACTCTCTGGGATAGGAATACTAAGGTGCTTTTATGGCGTACTGAGGAGTTTGGGCCATTAAAGCAAGTGATCCACCCAATTCTACACATTCTTGTAATATCGTGGATTCTTGAACCTAAAGTTCACTATAGATTTTTAAAAGTGAAAGAGTTTGGATCTTCATCTCTCCGTGGACTATCATTTTTGCAGTTGTCTAGTGTCTTCCTAGCCCATTTAGGAATTCCACGTTAGTTTCATGGTTGCTTCTGACGGTACCACCATTTGAGATCGTAGTGATTATAAGGTTGAATCTCTTTAACGATCCATCAAGACTTTCACCATGTAGAGCTTTGATGTTGGTGAAATCATTAAGAATAGTAGTGAGCATTTTTTCTTGAGATTGTTCAGACCCTTGGTAAATATTTTTTAGTACACACCAAATCTCTTTGGCATATTCATAGTTGATGATGATGTAAAAGTTAGTTGTATCAACGCCATAAGAAATTTCATAGAAAGTAAGTGCGTCTTTCTCCATCTTTTCGATATCATCGTTGGTAGGTCTATTCATGGATGTTAAACCACCTCCAAGTCTTGCCTGAGCACCATTAGCTGCAATATGAGTGAGAATAGGGACATGAGGTCCTTTTTCTACAGATCTCCAAACATCTCTTCCAAGTCTCTTTAAATATATTTCCATTCTTTGGGACCAATGATGATATTCACTTGCAACAAGTATTGGATCTCTGCTAGAACCTCCAACATTGGTTGAAACATTTAAAGAATAAGCTTGTTCCATTTTTCTTTGTTTTAATGAGTTTTAGTGGTATAGAAGGCCTTTTAAATCAGAGTATTGTTTGAAGTTAAAAAGCAACCACTTTGGCACTGATACCAATTTTTGAGAGAAAAATTTGATAAGTGTTCGTAATGAGATAATAAGTTGTGGAATAATACGTTAATCTCAATGGATCTTGTTAGCTCAACAATAAAAGTTAGATAACTTAGATTTAGGAAATTTAAGGAAAGTAAATAGCAGCAACTTAATATCGATAAGCTTTAAACAAGTAGACACTTAGTTGAATCTTAACATGGTTTTCATGCAAACACAAGTTAGCATGTTATGAACAACATACGTAAAGAGGGACTCGGTTGAAGTATCAGTAAGATAACTTGATATATAGAGATGAAAGATCTTCTATTGATAAGATCTGAATTGGAAAGTAAACATGAAGTCAGAAGCTCTATTTATAGAGTCCAAAAAGTTACACGAAAATAATAAACCATTACAAAGTAGCTGACTTTGGTGACCCTGAAAAGTACACCAGATAATACTAAGATTACAAGAAAAGTTAGTAAAAGATAACTTGTGAGAGTATTCATGCTACGTTCATCTACGGGTCTTCTTCACGTCTTTGGGTCCATATGATAACAAATAGTCTTCGGTTGGCTCTTCTCTTGTTCACAAGGCATTAAGGTCTTTGGGTCCATCGTAGCTAAAGAGGGTCACTTTCTTGTTTCAATAGCACCCTAAGAAAATCCTCTCGATACTCCCACACAATAGGCACATATTACACAATCTCCTTACCCTTATCACAGGTATCCATAACATAGGTGAGAAATCTGGAACAACCCTGTTGAATATAGCGTTTGGCCCTCACTGTTGAACATAAAATCAGACCACAATGAACTCTCTTTGCTAGAACCACTAGCTCTCCCCCACTTGGGGTTCGAATCCGAACTAACTACGACTCACATTCGATCACTGTCCAACTAGGGATCAACCAATCCATGCCCACGATAACTGATATGTCGTAAATACATTGATATACCTATTAGTTTTACCAACTATCTAACTAAATGTTACGAATCAAGGTAGTGGACGTTGTTGAAAATAATATATCACAAACAGTCGGGTATCAAAGTCACGACACAAATTTAATTTACTAAACTAAATACTAATAGATTAACTGAAAAACAAGCAAAATTTTAATTGGTTTTTCTCTGATTTTGCAAGTTTAGACAAACTTAATCACTTAGCTAACGATTCAATCAATTTCTAAAAACCCTTCCATTTGGTTCGAATCCACTTCTCCTCTATTGTTATCTACTAATTATGGATTGTTAATGTTGGTTATCAATTATTATTTTATTAGCAATTCAAGTCCAAATTACTAATATTTTCACTAACTCATATAAACTATATATGGTCATACTTTAGCAAACACAGAATCAGTTAAAGAATGTAGATAAACTATGTAAGATTAATCAATTTAAACACAATTATGTTCACAATTTATGTTATAGAGCACAACTAAATTACTTACTTTTATTTCTTATCTAAGATTGGGTCGATCCTAGCACTAGCAGTTTAATGGTCAATAAACTACTAGGTAACAAGTTCATGTAATTTAATGTTCGCTAAGCTACACAGAACCTGAATTCAAGCAATTAGAGCATCAAATATTACCATGCTAGGTAAAGCTAATCAAACACAAGCTCACAACCAACAACTAAAATGCACAAATCAATAAACTAGACAATAGAGTTAAAGCTTCATCTAGCTCAACAGAAGCTACTAGATTCAGCTACTCATGGTTGATAACACAAACACAAATTCAATAATAAAATACATAATCATAGAGTACCAAACTAAGATGATGAATATAATCTTCAAGCTCTTGACCTTCAAATAAATCTCATTCAGTGAATGTTTAATTTACATTTTTTTGAACAAATCTTCTCCATAAATCTCTCTGAAAGATCTTCCAATCCTCCTTCAATCATGAAAGTGAATGAATATATATAGTTTTGGGAATTTCCGTACTTCACATCGTGAACAGGGATTTCACATCATGTACTTGATATGAATCCTTATCGGGCAAGGACTCAAACCTCCCGTGCATTTATTTCCTAGAACACTCATTCCACATCGTGTAAATTATGGTCACGTCGTGATTTTGGCTTTCGAAAGAATTTTTATTCTATTAATTCATGAATCCTAAAAAGTTCCACTTTTCGTCAACAATGGTTCTTATTCTTCAAGATTGATCCTGTTGGCTGCAAAATATAATTTAATCTCATAAGTATCATATATCATTGCAAATAACCAAAATCTTACAAAAAAAATGTATTAAAATTTTGCCTAGAAATATGTGCAAATATGGCAATATCAAATGCCCCACACTTATTCTATGCTTTCCCTCAAGCAAAACTAATTTATCTATGTCAAACTTCCATCACCAACATCACATAAGATAATCCATTTTGAACTCAGTCATTATACCAAGACCTCAATGTGGATATTTGTGTCTAAAGTCCTAACAACTTTCCAATCCTAAATATCCGCAATCCTTATGAACCTTCACCCATTAGCTTTTACGACACTCATTTCTACAACCCTCTGAATCAAACCTTATAAATATTTCTTAACCTCAAGGTATTT